CAGCTTGCTCCAGTGTACATCCCCTGTGGGGTCACAAGTCCTGCCGGCAAACCTGCTTCAGCCCGGGCTCCTCTCTCCACATGGCCACAGGTCCTGCCAGGAGTCTGCTCCAGCACAGGTTTCCCATGGTGTCACAGCCTGCTTTAGGCATCCACCTGCTCCAGCATGGGTCCCTCCATGGACTGCAGGGGGGTCTCTGCTCTCTCGTGACCCTTCATGGCTGGAGGGGCACAGCCTGCCTCACCACAGGCTCCTTCTCCACTGACCTTGGTGTCTGCTGAGTTGTTCCTCTCACATCTCGCAGCCAGAGAGAGAGTAATTCCTGTTGCACAGCAGTAGGCTTTTTTATTTCTTAAATATGTTATCCCAGAGGCACTACCACCATCGCTGATGGGCTCAGCTTTGGCGAGCGGCAGGTCCACCTTGGAGCCAGCTGGTATTGGCTCTGTTGGACACAGGGTAGGCTTCCAGCAGCCCACCACCTGTAGCCCCCCTGCTACCAAAACCTGGCCATGCAAACCCAATAAAAGTGCTCTTTGAATGAGAGCAGATAACACCAACAATACCAAAAAGTTTCTCCTTTGGAAAGTTTTCTCTTTTGAAAGTTTCACTTTTCTAAAAAGTACAAACCTACCTACCATCAAATGATTTATGTTAGAGAACTGAATGTGTGCAGAAAGCTCCCAAAGCTAATTTGCTTTATTGTGCTAGATACATGTGATAAGTGCCCAGTACACTCTTGATCCTGGACTACTTTTACAGTATGCCTGCACCTATTTCTATATTTAGGACAGCTTAGTGTAACAAATGCTTCTTTAAACAAACAGAAAAAAGGAATACATAGGGATTTCCTTCAAGAATGTACTACGCAAGTAATGTACTGGAATGAAATTGTATGAATGAGGCAGCTATAAGACCAACAAGTAGCTCTATAGAGACACACAAAATTCAAGCCCTGTGTGCCTCTATACAGCTGCTTGTTGCCTTCTTCTAGGCTGCAGACCATATCCTCAAATAAGGACTGCTCTGTATCACTGTTATACCCTATGCCAAATCAAGTATATATGCTCTCACAGTATTAACTGGATTTTGCCTAATGGCTAATGTACTGCTACTACCGCTGCCTATTTTTCTCCCTCTGCTTTTGGATGTAAGAGCATTAGATGAATGAACAATAACTCAGAATAAGCATCACAGTAGAGACTATATGAAAGTATATTAATTCCATATCAGCATCAGTGATTCAGCATCCCCAGCTACCAGAGATCAATTAATATACTTTTAACATAAAACTGGAGAACCTAAAAGATTTTCAGATTAAACTAAGGGGCAAATGTCTGCGTGATGAAGTTGCTGCCTCGTAAGATCCTGTGGGACTTTGGGCAGAGCAGATACTATGCTGGCAGGACACAGAAAACGTACAGTGACTTGTTCCACTGTTAACTTCATCGGACACTGAGCACCATAAATCACACTGGATTAGCTATAGCACGGTAGGCACTTTCTTGGTGCTAATTACAAAGTCGTGAAAACCTAAAGAACCAAGGTATCCATCACATGAACGCTTTAGCAACATGACACACTGCAGGCACCTGAGAATTAACGCTTGCCTTTGCTCCGCCACAGATCTGCAATGGGGTACGACACGCGCCTTTAAGCACCCCAAAACATCCCATGCTTCACGGCCGTGAGCAGCTGGTACCAGAAAGGAAAACCGCTCGACGCACAAGCCCATTCCCCAGTCTCCGCCGAGGGCCGCACCACTTGCAAGGTCTCTCCCAAGGGAAACCACCAGCCCAAAGCGGGGCTCGGAGGCCGGGGCGGGCGCCCACGCTGGGCACGGCAACACGGCGCTCAACG